TACAATTAATTCATCACCATCAAGCAAATCTTCAATGGGACCAATAACTGCATCATATAATGGCTTTAAACAGTCGGTGGTTTCCTGTGATGGTTCCGATTTTTGATCATCGTCCCGAGTAGTTGAAGTTGGGTCGTCACTCAGCTGATCCATTGACCGATTTTCGCACCTAATACCGACGCCAGCCCTCATTTTTTCCAAAGCAGTGTCTAAAAGGAGAGCAAAAGAATCTTCGTGTGCACCTCCAATTTCAAACTCCGCTTTCCTAAAAACAGGGTTGCCCTCTTTTCGCAATACCCACATATTGATTGTTTTCAATTCCAGGGCAAGAAAAACTGTTAAAACAGCTGTGTTCGTTGAAAGATATTTGACTTCTTCTTCACTTTCAATTGACCTGGGAGAAAGTGATGTAAGGCCATAAGTTACTTTTAAGGCATCGAGCAAAGCCTGTGCCCGTCCCCTCTCAGCAGCGTATAAAGCCTCATCATTCCTTTGAAGCATTACTAAAACTTGCCATAAAAGAAAATAGGCAGATTGATTTAGCGTACAGAAACTTATTTTCAATTGATCTTCCGAGATAGAATTGGCTCTAATAGTGTCAAGGATTTTAACACAGCATTTAAAATGTCCTAAAGCCTCATTCAAAGAATCTGAAAGCAAAAATGATCGACCCAGACCCCTATGGGCACATGCTTCTGCCATCCTGTTACCGATTTCCTCGGCAATGCTCAAGTGTTGCTTGTAACACTCTATTGCTTCCTTCAACTCGTGGAGTTTTCTATAACAACTTCCGAGGCGGCAATAGGCTAGTCCTTGTCTAACCCTCTCACCGATTTCTTCGGCATTGCTCAGGCATTGCTTGTAGTACTCCATTGCTCCTGCCACGTCGCCAAGGGAATAATGAACTTCGCCGATGCCTAAATAGGCATGTCCTTGGCCTCTTCTGTCACCGACTTCCTTGGCAATGCTCAGGTGTTTCTTCATGCACTCCATTGCTCTTTGGAAGTCTTCAAGTTGGTGATAAAGAGAGCCGAGAATGCAATAGGCTCTGCCTTCCCCTGCCCTGTCACCAACTTCCTTGCAAAGGATGATGCACTTATTGGTGTACTCAATTGCTCGTTGGTTTTCGCCGAGATATAAATAAATAGTGCCGAGATTCTCATAGCCTTGCAATTGCACTGCCCTGTCACCAGCTTCCTTGGCAATGATGAGGCCTTTATCGGTGCACTCTATTGCTCGTTGGTATTCGTCGAGATGAATGTCCCCCCCCCCCCCCCACCTCCGACTTTTTTAAAAAAAAATTTTTTAGACGATAAAACATCAGCACCCGACGTTTCAGTAGCCATTCGTTTATCCCTCGCGCGCATTTTGAGACAATTTTAGTGATGGTCAGTTACTAAGCCACCCTAACCCTAACCTTTTTTCCATAATAAAAGTAAAACCTGTCAATGAAATGATGCAAAGGGCTTATTTAAATGTCATTTTACATGTGAAGCACAGAAAATTATCATTAATCGCGATTTTAACCTTCGATTTGATTTCTAATTCTTGGTGAAATCCAAGATGGCGACCATTGTTGGTGACAACACAGGCCTCTAGCAGCGCCACCACCCATTAAAAATAAACCTCATCTTGTTTAGTAGATTAAAGGCTTTCCACTGAAGGTCAAATCGTTTCGAAATACTGCAAATTATCATGATCAAAAACTCTGGGGAGCGGTTCCATCCACCCCTCCCCCTTATACCACGGTTGGGGTATGAAGTTGCGTGTACGTCTGAGTAACACTGTTAAATTAATTTGAATTATTTGTTTCAGTCATTTGCTTTAAAGCCGAGGGGAAAAAACTGAAAAGGAATTAGTAAGATTATGAGGATGGTGCTTATTATTGTCATCAATATTACAATTATTACAATGCAATTTTCCTTTGCCAAATTACAATTTGCCGGTTAAGGCAGGTTACACGTCGAGAAAAGAGGAAATCATCTGTACTACTTTTCAGTCAGTTTCGCGGGAGTAACGAAATACCTGTAAACAACGTTAAGCTCCTTCCCCACGAAAATTGATTGTCTTTTTCCTAAGTTAAAATTGATAAGTGTAGCCGTGGCTAATATAGAGCTCTACAGTATACAGTATGTCCTTTGATTTCCAAAGTTTTTTTGATGTTATTAATTAGAGCGATTTAGAGTTTCGTTTACGGCAAAACGTAGATTTGTACCACGTGACTAAGTGTTGCCTTTACTTCTTGAACTTTCTCGTTTGCTGTTAATTAACTCTACAAAAAATTGTTAGTTTTAAGTTAGTTTTATCCATAAGAATTGCTTTATGCTGTTTTTATTTTATCTGAATATTTTCTATTTTGAGAAATTCTCAACTTGAATCTGTAGACGTTTGCCATTTGCCGTTAGCGTGTCTATAAATCTCTCTATTTAAGATCTTCTGACAAAAAATGACTAAAATGAAAACATGCTTTTTTACCAAACGCCCCATTGAGCACAGCTATTAAATATCGCACTTCCTTCTTTGGAGAAATCCAGATATATACACGCTACTTCAGCAGTTGTGTTGACATCAAACTTTCAGCGCATCCCTGTAAAGAAAGTAACAATTGATACATTTATTAATCTTTCATTTCAAAACAAAATAAAGGTCAAAGCGTTAAATTTTAGGATGCCATGGATGATGATATGAAAAATAGCAAAATGAAAAACATTTATTATCAAGTCTGTCATTTTCCTTGTATCTGAATTTGACAAGAATGGTTCTGGCTTTTCTTCTTAAGCCTTTTGTTATTAGAACAGCACGAAAAAAAATCTCCACTTACGTCGGACTTGCTCAATGCATGACTCTTTTTCCAAGTCAATCTTAACGTCATCGCCCATCAGAACAAAAGGAGCCCAGTACTTTGGAGCAGAATAATCTTGGTGGTCTCGAAGACATTTCATGGCCCTCTGAAGAGCAACACTTGCACTTTCTCCACTTTTAAGTTGTTGGTAGAAAGATTCCATAAATATCATTGTGGCTTCGTCATCAATTGCCCAGAGTGTCGCCAGCACGGAACGAGCACCAGCAAACAAGAAAGCACGTGCCATACCGACCACACCCTCAGACGAGACCTCTCCTTGACCACTGTGGCAGCAACTTAGCACAACCAGTCTCGCTCTCAGTTTAACAGCTTGTATGTCAGAAATTTTCATAATGCAGTCCTCCTCCTTAGGTTTGTCGGATTCCCATCGGGGGTCTGGGGCCAAAAAAAATTCTCCGGTTTCCGGCTTTCCGTGGGCTGCAATGTGAACCAAAGACACTGACTTGATTCTCTGAAGTACCGCTTCTTTGGTTGCATCTTCACCTGTTAAGGGTTGACTCTTTAGAATTTTTCCAATCATCTCCACTTCCATTCTTGCGTATTTCAGAGGATCATAAATGGGGTTCCCCCATTTATTTGTAATTTTCTTCAAGCATGGATCTCCAACAAGCAGGGATCCACTTTTACTGTGGTATTCAATTGGAGAATCTGTGATGACTTTCAAACTTGTCAGTGAGGGAACAGTACGGATCCTTAAAGTTTCACTCAGGGCTGCCCAAGGAGCTTTAGACAAAGCGCCGTCTGGGACTACAATTAATTCATCACCATCAAGCAAGTCTTCAATGGGACCAATAACTGCATCATATAATGGCTGTAAACAGTCGGTGGTTCCCCTTAATGGCTTCGATGTTTGATCATCGTCTCGAGTAGTTGAAGTTGGGTCGTCACTCAGCTGATCCATTGACCGATTTTCGCACCTAATACCGACGCCAGCCCTCATTTTTTCCAAAGCAGTGTCTAAAAGGAGAGCAAAAGAATCTTCGTGTGCACCTCCAATTTCAAACTCCGCTTTCCTAAAAACAGGGTTGCCCTCTTTTCGCAATACCCACATATTGATTGTTTTCAATTCCAGGGCAAGAAAAACTGTTAAAACAGCTGTGTTCGTTGAAAGATATTTGACTTCTTCTTCACTTTCAATTGACCTGGGAGAAAGTGATGTAAGGCCATAAGTTACTTTTAAGGCATCGAGCAAAGCCTGTGCCCGTCCCCTCTCAGCAGCGTATAAAGCCTCATCATTCCTTTGAAGCATTACTAAAACTTGCCATAAAAGAAAATAGGCAGATTGATTTAGCGTACAGAAACTTATTTTCAATTGATCTTCCGAGATAGAATTGGCTCTAATAGTGTCAAGGATTTTAACACAGCATTTAAAATGTCCTAAAGCCTCATTCAAAGAATCTGAAAGCAAAAATGATCGACCCAGACCCCTATGGGCACATGCTTCTGCCATCCTGTTACCGATTTCCTCGGCAATGCTCAAGTGTTGCTTGTAACACTCTATTGCTTCCTTCAACTCGTGGAGTTTTCTATAACAACTTCCGAGGCGGCAATAGGCTAGTCCTTGTCTAACCCTCTCACCGATTTCTTCGGCATTGCTCAGGCATTGCTTGTAGTACTCCATTGCTCCTGCCACGTCGCCAAGGGAATAATGAACTTCGCCGATGCCTAAATAGGCATGTCCTTGGCCTCTTCTGTCACCGACTTCCTTGGCAATGCTCAGGTGTTTCTTCATGCACTCCATTGCTCTTTGGAAGTCTTCAAGTTGGTGATAAAGAGAGCCGAGAATGCAATAGGCTCTGCCTTCCCCTGCCCTGTCACCAACTTCCTTGCAAAGGATGATGCACTTATTGGTGTACTCAATTGCTCGTTGGTTTTCGCCGAGATATAAATAAATAGTGCCGAGATTCTCATAGCCTTGCAATTGCACTGCCCTGTCACCAGCTTCCTTGGCAATGATGAGGCCTTTATCGGTGCACTCTATTGCTCGTTGGTATTCGTCGAGATGAATGTAAATATGGCCGAGTTGGGAATAGGCTTTGCCTTCACATGCCCTGTTACCAACTTCCTTGGCTATGACGAGGTGTTGATTGTGGTACTCTATTGCTTGATGGAATTCACAGAGGGATCCATAATTCCAGCCGAGATTGCCATAGGCACATCCTTCACCTGCCCTGTCACCAACTTCTTTAGAAATCCTGAGGCCTTGATTGTGGTACTCTATTGCTCTTTGGTAGTCACCCAGGGATCTATAAGCATAGCCGAGCTTGTCATAGGCACATCCTGCACCTTCTCTATCAGCGACTTCCTCAGCAATGCTCAGGTATTGCTTGAGGTACTCTATTGCTCGATGGAAGTCTTTGAGAAAGTAATAAGCGCTGCCTAGATTGTGGTAGGCATGTGCTTTCTCTTCCGTGTTTTTATTGATCTGCGCTATTTCAAGACGCTTTTTTTATTCAGCTATATCTTGTAGTATTCTTTCTGCCATTTCCAAGTTTTAATATTCAAGGTGGAACTGTTTCTTGACAGTAAGGTCTCTTTGAGGAGCGTTGAGGTGGAGTAAAAACAAAAATAATTTCATTAATACATTTGAAGTGTTAGAATACACTGTATGTTCCCATTAGACAGATAAGACATGACAGAATTTTTCACAGTGACTCCTTCCTCTCTAGATTTACTCCAACTGACGCTTCTCCGGAATTTTTTTGACAATTTCTGAATATTGGTGTTATAAGACAATATTTCTGGACTCCCCGCGGACAATTAATCGATAAAGGTTTAATCAAGAACAAAAAGTTGCTAAGTGATGTAATAGAAAAAGAAAAAGGCTAGCGAAATGCAGAAAATACTTTCGATAACGAGAGTAATAATGAGGAGAGTTCATTGGATATTTAAAATTAGGAGGGGAAGGATGAGGAGGAGGAGGAAGTGGCCTCTGAGAATGGTGTTGAAGATGACTCCCAAGAGAGCTACAACGACACTGAAAACGACCACAGTCAGGAAACAGAAAGTAGTAGCCTTGAAACGTCCACCACCTTTCACTCTGAAAATCCCTGTAAACATTGTGAGAATTCTAAAGTGTACGGAACATTGATCGTGAAATGTCCTGTTGCTTTTGGCACGATTACTACAAGATTTGTCCGATATTCGATCACCAGATCCCGGAGGAGAGAAATTACATCAAAGAGGGCTTTCTTCGGTGTCACCATTGTGGAGCAATTACACACAGAAAAGCGAAGACGTTGGAAACCAATTTTTATTCCCCCTCTAAAGAGGAGAATGAAGAAGAGGATTAATTTTTCATTCCTTTCAAATCGCTGTGTATTTGACTCTTTTTGCCATTGGTTTTCAATAAAGTTTTTAAAACTGTATCTCGTGTCTGGTTTTATTATGAGCGTTTATTAGTCGCGTGTTTTAATTGATCGTTCTTACGTTTTTTTATTGTTTTGTGTTTTTATAATAATAAGTCAAAGTTCAAAAAATGAGTCCGCTGCCCGGCGACAATAGGGAGCTTAAGCAACAGCGTTTTTGAGCGACGGACGTCAATCGGAAGTGGACTTTTTGCATCATTGGGGAGCGGTTTGGTTGAAACTCTCGGGTAAATCGTCTTTAAAAGAGAAAAGAAACTCAGCAATACAAATTTGTTAGCGTCAAGGCATATAAAAAGGGAGAAGGCCTCACTTCCGGTTGACGTGCGTCGCTCAAAAACGTCTTTGCTTAAGGTCCCTAAAAACATTACATGCAAATTTCAGAGAGACCACAAACTAGCAAGCCACAACAAATTTTAAATTGTTTGCCTTACATAGAGCAGAAATAAAAACGATTTAATTTATAAAAAGTACTTTTCCTGGAAACCTTTCTGGCAGCTCACACAGTCCCAATGAACATTGAAAACTTTAAAAGGCAGCTGTTTGAGGAAAGATGTCTTGACTAAATAAGTTCGTGACCTCAGTTTCTTATTAATTGATAAAAGACTTAGTTTCACAAATTTATGCCAAAGCAGGGCTGTCTTCGCTAGCTATTGTGATAAAAAGGAAAATTATTATAAATCTGTGACGTCTACAACATGAGAGATCCACATTTAACACAAATTATTCTGAATATCCGGAGTATCCGGCGTTGCTTGTGTGAGGAGAGGTAGGGGTGGGGGGTTTGGAGGCGGGGGAGGGATGGAAAAGACGTAGAAGAAAGTAGCGGAAAAGGGAGACAAAGAAGGGAGAGAAACACAAATCTGCTAAAACAATATTTTAGTCGGACGTTTTGCTTAACATGGAACAAACATACTTTGCTTCGCGGTCGCAAACCGGTCTAAACTTATTATTAATTATTTCTAATTAAAAAGGAGAGGGAAAAAACTACAGCAGGAAATCAAAATAAACTTGCAGAAATATCTGATTGGACAAATTCCAAGTTAAAGGAGATTATTTCTTACCTGGAAGATTTGATCTCAGTGAAGAAATTTTCGACGGAGTTTTGAAGTGTTCTCCAGCGGTTGGATTTAAATGCAGAGGACTGTCAAATATATAGGGTGGCTGATAGAAACAAAAAAACCACAAGACAACAACAACAGCAACAAAAATAGCAGAGAACAAACCCAAAACAGAAAGACATAAGACAAAACGGAAACCCAAAACGGAAAAACACTACCAGAAAACAGAAACACAAATCCCAAAACAGAAATAAGCATCTCCAACAGGAAACACACTCAAAAAAATACAAAATTAAACCGCAAAAACTGAAACAGAATCCAAAAATACAAATCGTACCCACAAAAGGCGAAAACAGAAACAAGGAAATAGTGTAAAGCTATAGTTTCTCATGTTTCATCGTCTTTTTTTAAACAGGCGTTTTACGTTTTTTTAGGGAGAGTATGATCGGAGGCTATTATTATACAGGAACATCAAACTGTACGTAAATCAATCTCGTTCCCAGCCTATCTCTTCTCCCCGTCGCCTTTCGCTCCAGGTGACCGGTATTTTCGTCTCGGAGGTCTCCAGTCAATTTTAGCCCGCCGGGTTCAAAACCACGTGGGGTACGTTTCTCGATCGTTCTGGTACCTTTTCTAGTCCAAAGCAGACAACCTAATGTGAGACCTAACTACTAACGTATGGCGTTCAAAATACAGAGATTGACTCTGACTGAACGTCAGTTGCTCGAGATTTAATACGCCCGACATTAGGGAGGCGACGGTAGCGAAACGTCATTTATAAAGCTATTTGGCGTACTTTTAAAATTTGTGGGGGTTATCTTAATTGGCTAAGTTGGTCAATTCAGGTAGCACTGACATCAAAGTATAAATAGAGAAATATAAATTTGTTTTCGGGTACTTATGTCCGGCTATATAACGTAGTGACGGCGAATAAATTTACAAAACCGTGTGATGCACGTGCAGAGTTATGGTTTTGTTTATTGAACCTATATCAAGAAAACATGCGAATGAGGCCCTGTTTATATATAGAAGACGTTTCCCGGGGTCACCCTCCCAGCCCGAGTCAACTTAAGCAAGCGTTTATATGAGAATCAGTTGACCCTTTTGCCTTAGCTGAAAACAGCGCTCTCGCATCCTCTGGCTCGCTTTAACCGAGTTGAGCCGGCTGGGCAAGCCAAGTGTTTACTTGGAGAAAAGTTGACTTAGCTAGGAAGGTGACCTTACCATTGAAAAAGGGCTCTAGCCGAACCCACTGTTTTTTCTTTTCTCTCGCCGCCGCTTGTCGCCTTTCTTACGTGGGGTGATTTTCACGCGCGCTCTACTATCCCTGAGGAAAAATGGGGGACTACTCGTAGTCTAGGGAAAACGATATGAACTAACAAAGTTTGGAACCTAGCTCGAAAACAAAAGCACTGCGACCCATTGGGATATCTTCTGAACAGTACTGCTGTAAGGCTACTGGCCTCTCGGGGTCTAATTGGCTATTTACGCGATGACTTGTTTTTGCTAGTAAAGGAATTCATTTCATTTTTTCGCTCATATTTAAATTTGGTAATTCCACTGAGGTTTAAATAACAAAAGCCCTAACTTGAAGAAGAAAGCAAAACCCTGAAGGAATCTTGTATTGTAAAATGACGTCATCGCGCAAACGGCCTTTTTTCGAATCCCTCAGAATTTGACTTTCTCATATAAACTAAGGCTTCTGAATTTACCGAATTAAATGTGAAAGAAATCAGTAAAAAAAACGAAATGATTCTGGTCGTATTTGTAGATTGACACTAGGGACTTTAAGATCCAACGACGTGACCGCAACGAGAACATAGAAAAAAAAGTAGGTTTAATAAGCAAAACAACAACTTTGCACGTGCATCACAAATTTTTGTACATTTTTTTGCTGTTTTAGCAAGACTACGACGTGAAGATGCCTAATTTCACGTTTTATGGAGAACGTAGACAAGTAACGAGGAAATTTTATTTCTCTCTCTGAGCTTGGATATGGTCCCTTGGAATTCAAATTGAGGAGCGTTAGCTTACATTCGACAAAGTAAGTGGGTAGGAATAACCGCGATAAAGACTGAAAGAACGCAAATTCAGTTTTTAAGCGACGTTCTCGTTGCGGTCGCGTCGTTGGATCTTAAAGTCCCTACAATCATGAAAAGGCCCGTCCACAAAAATCCGGATATTTTTGAAACCGCATTTACAGGATGTTTCAAAAGTTCGTTCCGATGGTAAATTGTACTTTTCGCAAAGCATTTAATGCTTCTTTTGGCAAATGTAAACAGATTCAGGTACGAAATTTTTTAAAATAACTGTTC